GTAGAAATAGTCGATCAAAAAGGATAGAAGAGTTACTACAGGCAAGTGAGCAGTAAGAAGTAAAAATTGAGAGGAAAAAAACCTTTAGCAATTTGGCAGCATCTATCAAAATACAAAATGTACATATTGTCTGACCAAACAATTCAATTTCCGTGAGTGTATCTTATAGAAGTAACTATAAAAATTTACCAATATATTTCTAATTACAAAAAAAAAAAAGAAAAAAGGGAACACAATGTTTTGCAACACAGGACTAGCTAAATGAATTAAAAGTACATCTGTAAACTATATAGTGAGGTAATATGCAACCATTAAGATTTGAACTAAATGTTGGGGCATGAAAAGATATTCAGACTATCACTTTAAATGATAGATAACTGCAAAACAGTTTTACAGTATATTTTTAGTATGATCCTATTTTGTATTGCATACATGTGTACGTATGTGTGCATGTGCATATGTTATAAATAGTATACTATTTAGTACTAAACAATTATTAGTATAATATTGGTACTACACTAAAACATTTATTGGTATAAATGTTTGTATACTATTATACTATATCAGTATAGCATTATAAAAATTATTGGGACACTTTAGCATAGTATTATAAAATACTATAAAACTGTTTTGCAGTTCATGTGTGGAGAAAGGACTGAAGGTCTGAAAAGAAATATCAAAGTGTTAAAAGTTGTTTTATTTTAAACATTTCTATAATTTGAATGTTTCTATAATTCAAACATTTCTATAATTTGAATGTATTAGAGATACACATAAAACTTCAACTATCGGAAAAACAACAATCAAATATGGAAATAAATAACCAAATAAACATATTACCTGTTGGATAAAACACATAGTTCTTTTAAACTTGGAGCCATGGAATGATCTTTATAATTTTCTCGAGAGAAAAATGTCTTAAGGCCATTTTTTGGGGAAATATCCCTGTGAAACAAAGTAATTTACTTACATTGGACAATTCAAAATCTCATGCTAAGACACATAATGGCACAATTGTAACTTATAATTTCATACTTTCTTACCCCCCATCCCCAGACAATCTCTCCTTACTATGTTTAATTTCACATATCAGATCCGTGGGCTTAGAATTGTTACTTCTTGATAGCTTTAAACCCAGGCCCATTATGAAATTCTCCAGCTCCAATAATCAGCCCTGCATTTTCTTCAGTACATAATTAAATAAATGTCATAGAGACTGGAGAGTTAAAGATAGAAAAGACTGAAGTATAATCAAGGGTCTGTCAAAGGCTGGCCTCACTTCTGGCTCTAGGACATAACATTAAGATATTGGTTGCTGAAAAGAAAATACTTCTCAACTTATTTTTGTTTCATGCACTACTGTGCTGAGCCAAAAGACACTATGAAGACTACATATCCTACCTATTTTGTTTACTTTGGCAAATGGAATCAATGGTTTGCTAAAACCACCTCAAAGGTGATATGATTTTTCATAACACCATAACTAATTTAGAGACGAACATATATTCAATGCTTTCCATATAGTTAGGCATCCAAAAATGCTGTTTGAATGAAGGAATTAAAAATTTGAAAACACTGAATCCATTAATCTAGGGAGGACAAAGGTCAGTAAAATTCTGTGGAAAAGGATAATTCCAAGGGCTACAACATTGTGCAAAGGTTCTAAACCACAACTGGTTCCACAATGCCAGCGGTAGATAAGATCATCTGTGCTACATCTGAACGCATACTTCATAGCACTGGCAAGGAATGCAAATGGGCATACTTCTTATCTAATCAAATGGTAACTTCTGGGTGTCCTAGTGCCCAAATAGGAAATTCTAGCATATTTGCTCCATACTCTTCTTTTAACTGTTCTTAAAGGCATTTATCCAAAAAACCATACTAAGGTATTAATGGTAAAATTAGAATGTCTTATTTGCTATGTACCACTATAGTTTCTTATTACCTTGTTGTGGTATTGTATCTGTGACATCTCAATAAATTCTTAAGTTTCTGCACATCATATAAAAACAAAGTCAAGGGCCTCAGGGATTGTGAGCTCCCTGGGGACGGGAGTATTGCTAGCAGTAAACAAATACTTACTGAACATACTGACTTAATATTCTGAGTCAGGTACTATTTTAATACTCTTTGTAACCGTTTATAACATTTGATCCTTCTTGGCTGGCTCAGTACATGTGTGTTAAAATGAACTAAATCAGCACATGTATTAGCTAGATGTCTACAAAACCACTATAATATTTAACCAGGCTCTCTATTTGCAAAGTTCTCATTCACTTCTAAAACACAGTCTATGCATTTATATTATCATTTGATACAGATTTCAATATAACAGAAAGCATGTCTATCCTTTTTTTTTTTGAGACGGAGTCTCGCTCTGTCGCCCAGGCTGGAGTAAGCATGTCTATTCTTAAAGAGGGTCTTTTTTATTACTTGCATGGAAATGGGCAAGGTTCTTGGACACAAGAATATTCCAGAATCTCTCCTTCTGGAGACCAGCAATAAATACCTGAGAGAGACCTTCAGGAGACCAGCAATAAATACCTGAGGGAATTATACCTAAAAATAATTTGAGTGCTGAATTGTTGTTCCAATATAGGAATGGAAGTGTAGTCAGCCATAACTCTAGCGTTCAGTATTTGAGGATGAGGATAACGTAAATTCGGAAACCTTAAACTTGTATCTTCTGTTTCCTCCAAATCTCTCTATGCCAGGAATCTATTTTCTTATGTCAACCATCAGCCCCACTACACTCCTCTTCAGTGGATTACAAAGTAGCTACAACTCACCAATTCAGTCCTGGTTCACTTATGACCATCTTGGAGCTCATCTTTCTAGATTTCTGCTTCACTCTAGCTCACAGTTCACAGCTGCCTGGCTGCGAAGGCTCCAACAGAGGCAGGATCCCTCCAGAACTTACTCATCTGAGGAAAAACAAAAGGCCAAGATCAAAAGCAAGCGATTGGCTAGGCTAGCTGCTGTTAGGTGAGGAAAAATCTCTCCCTAAATATCTACCCTCAACAGACTGTGGCACCTAAAACAGAATACAGCAGACCCAAGGTTCTCTGTGGCAAAGCAGCAATGACCATACAGGACGAGCCTTTTTCTATTTAATCTACGCCGGGAGTGTTACTCTTAGGACACCCACTATGGAAATAAGAGCTGAAACAGAATGGTGTTCTCATTGCTTACATACTAGGCCACTTCATGGCATGGAACTGGAAGTCAACTCCGTTTTCCATTCCGTTACTGCCAACATAAATCTTGCTTTTGTTTTCCCGACCATGCTTTGTTTTGGGGCAGATTCTGGCAGGCACCGCATGACAAAAGCTACCTCGACATCAGGAATCTTAGGCCTTTCAGAGAACCTCACATTTGAGGAGACTGAGGTCAACTCAAGTGACATTTCACAAGATCACTTACAGACATCATCAGGACTAGAAATCAGGCTTGATGTCTTCATGTTCAGTATTTCTCCTGTGATCCCAGGCAGACTGATAAAGTGACATACGAGAACCTAGTCAAATTTAGGAGTCGGTCTCTGGGCACCGGACGGGCCCGACCGGCTCCCAATTAATCTACCTCTCACACTTCGACCCAGAGTGGAGCCAGGGGGAAGAGTCGATGAAGGCAAAAGAAACGGCTGAGGGAAAGGGGACACAAGGAGAGGGGAAACAAGTTCCAGAAAGGCAGGTAAAAGTGCAAGCAAAGCAGGGGTAGGAGCCGCGCAGAGCCAGGAGCAAAGGGTCCTGGCCCGGCCGCCATGTTCCCTCCTCCCGCCCCTGCATGAGGACGCCCGCTGGCCCAGCAGCGCCCTCCCGTCCGCGTCTCGGCTGCAACACAGCCTTTCCGCCCACCTCATGGTCCGCGGCGGCTCTTGCCCAGGCCGCAGCCACACACCACACACGCTCCACCCCACTCCTCACATTGTCGCGCGCGCCCGGGAAAGACCATATTTAAAGGATGTGGACGCGCCGACTCGGCTCTGCGTGATGACGTCACCAGCGACATAGTGGGCGGGGCCTTGCGTCCGGACTGCAGCTCACCTTCTTCACTCCCGCCACGCGCGCTGCGTGTGGTTCTGGCAGCGAAGGGCGAGACTGGGCTCCCCAGGCGGAAGTGGTTGGAGGCTGCATGTTTTCCTAGAAAGTCCTCGACCTTCGTCGGGGAGAGGAGGGGAGTGATAAATTGGAAGGAGGACAAGCGACAAGTGCAGTACTGGAAAGACCCAAACATACTTGGTTGTGACCTCAGGCAAGTTTCCTGACTTCCCTAACCCAAACTCCTCATATGTAAAATGGAGATGAAATTGTTACTGCTGCTTCATACGGTTTTTTGGAAAGGATTAAATGAAACAAAGGATGAAGCTGTGCTCTGCACAGTACCTGGCTCATAGTAGGGCCTCATTAAGTACTCCTTCACCTCTGCTCCACTCCCCGTCCAGTTTTAGCTGTCAGTTTCCACCAGAGACCATTCTGGTTCAAACACTAGTTTTGTTCTCATTCATTACGGAAAGATTTATTGACCATAAACAGTAATTTTGTTTGGTGCTGGGTACACATGGACTAAGACTGAATACTGATTTTTCCAGTGCTTTGGATCTCTGGCAATCTAAGACATTTACATTAAGTACAATAGAAAGTAATAAGCTACATAAGAAAGGTATATAGAAAAAATTGAGGTTAGAGGGAGAGGAATAGCTAGTGTGAGGGGCAAAATGCAGCTTTGAATAGTATTGAGTACTTACATGTCAGTTACTGCACTGGGCATCTGCCATGTGGGCTCATTTGAAGAATGTGGGTATGTGGAATGAGGAGGGCATTCTAGACAGACCAGCACAAGTGTCAAAAGACCAAAAATTTGACACATCTAAAGATCTCAATTGGCCTTATTGCGATTCTAGAATCAGGCAACACTTCATTCCGTAAAATGGAATGAATGCCCCAATGAGTGGAACAGAGGAGGTTGGCTTTACGGACAGAAAAAAGGGCTGTAGAAAGCAGAAACAAAGAACAAAAAGCAGATTGGTCATTTCAAAGTTACTTTCCTGGTAAGGTGGAGACAGAACAACAGAAAGATAACTGATAGGTTAACATCAGGTTACTTCAAGTTACTCTTTGCCGTAAGGACTAAAACAGAGGAAATTCATTATCTTGCTGATTGAAGATTGAAACTGGCCTGTTATCCATCTCCTGATTTCTTGGAGGGCCAGATAACTCATTTTCGGTGTGGTGACCATGAGTGATTCCATTTTTATTTTAGTCTGGTCTGTTGGGGTCTCGTACAGAAGTTCAAAACAATGGCCTCCTATAATTTTGTTTAATACAAGGAACTGCATAAACCTACTGCATAAACAAAATGTGTGCTATTAGGGAAGCATGTTCTACATTTTATTTTAAGACAGAGTCACCCAGACTGGAGTGCAGTGGTGCAATCTCAGCTCACTACAACCTCTGCCTCCCAGGTTCAAGCGATTCTCCTGCGTCAGTCTCCCTAGTAGCTGAGACTACAAGTGCACGCCACCACACTTTGCTAATTTTTGTGTTTTTTTAGTAGAGGTGGGGTTTCACCATGTTGGCTAGGGTGGTCTTGAACTCCTGACCTCAAGTGATCTGCCCCCTTCGCCTCTCTTAAGTGCTGGGATTACAGGTGTGAGCCACTACACCTGGCTGACATTTTAGAATGATTTAGAATATTGTTAGAAATTATGTTAATGTAAAAAATATGCTACAGGAAACCATAGGTAGTTTATTTTGCCTGGAATGCAAGTTTTCTGAAGAGTAGTAGAGGAAAAGGGGTTGGAAAAACTGGTTGAAGCTAGAACACATAAGACCTTATAAGCCAGACGAAGGAAGTTTGACTTTATTGTATAAGAAATAAAATGCTAGGAAACAAACAACAAAAAAGCTTACTTAATGGCACAATCAGAACTGGCTGGCTGTGCTTCAGGAAAGTTCACCTGGCAACCTATGGAATTCATTGAAGGGAGGAGGCTAGTTAGGAGACAGTGTTTGTGAATGCTTAAAAAAATTAACCAATGCCTGGCACTGTGCACATAGCATTTCTTTTTTTCTTTTTCTTTTTTTTTTTTTTTTCTGAGACAGAGTCTCCCTCTGTCGCCCAGGCTGGAGGTAGTGGCACGATCTCAGCTCACTACCACCTGTGCCTCTCAGATTCAAGTGATTCTCCTGCCTCAGCCTCCTGAGTAGCTGGGACAACAGGTACGCGTCACCAAGCCCGGCTAATTTTAGTATTTTTAGTAGAGACAGGGTTTTACCGTGTTGGTTAAGATGGTCTCGAACTCCTGATCTCGTTATCCGCCCACCTCGGCCTCCCAAAGTGCTGGGATTACAGGCGTGAGCTGCCGCCGCGCCTGGCCGCAGATAGTATTTCTTATTAGGCAGGTGATGTGGATGGCTTGTGTAGGACGAAGGCAGTGTCAAAGTTCATGTGTTGGGTACCTTCTCACAAAGCATGCAGTCAGGGAGAGTTGGGGACACCTGGCCTGGCCCGAAGGAACTGCTCTAATGGTTCAAGAGCTCACGCTGCTGGGAGGTACCTGCCCATGGTAGTGTGATATGGTAGCATCACCATACAGCTCTGTGTTGAGATTTCAGATCATCACCAAACAGTATGCTCTGAACTGGTATATCTGAGTTTCAGTGGTTGCAAGATGGCACACAGAATCAGAATTTTTAGAACCAGAACATGAGTTGGAGATTATCTAGTCCAACCCTTTCGTTTTCCTTACAAGGAAATGGGCTCGTTTCAAGATTGTCAAGTGACTTTTCCAACATCACATGATCAGTGATAAAACTGGTACTAAAACTTAGGTCTCATAATTCTTGCCAACATGTGCATTGTGCGTCTTCCCAAAATTCATATGTTATATGAATATGTATATATATAAATTCATATGTCATATTATAGGAGCCTAGTGGCCTCCTATAATTTTTGTTTACTACAAGGAATCCTAATGGTATTTGGAGGTGGTATCTTTAGGAGGTAAGTAGGTTTAGATTAAGATACAAGGGTGCAGTCCCAATGATGGAGTTCACAGCCTTTGTCAGAAGAAGAGAAACCACAGCTCACTCTCCCCACCGAGTGAAGACACAGCAAAAAGGTAGCCATCTGCAAGCCAGAAACAGAGTTCTCACTAGAAACCAAATTGGCTGGCAGCTGGATCTGGACTTCCAAGCCTCCAGAACTGTGAGAAAATAAATATCTGTTGTTTAAGCCTCCCAGGCTATGGAATTGTCATAGCAGCCCCAGCGGAGTAACATACAATACAATATGCATCCTTTCTTGTCTGTTTTGTAAACCACAAGAAGCTTAGTGGCAAGAACATGGACTTTTGGATTCCAGTAGATACGTATCTCAAGTTTGCATCTCAGTTTTTCTGTCTACTGGCAGTGTGATCCTAGGCATGTTGTGTGTCCTCTGAGTCTCAGTTTCTTCCTCTGAATAATGGAGGCAGTGATACCTCACCTACAGAATTGTTGTGAGGACTAGAATATATTAAAAGTGCATTGCAAAGAGTAAATGTTGAGTAAATACTAGCTATTACTATATAATTTTTCTGAAAGAAAAATCAAAGATGAACAAAACACAGTGGAGGTGGCACTGTACAGAGACTTACAATGCACAGAAGAAATGGTGGGCCGGGCGCGGTGCTTCAAGCGTATAATCCCAGCACTTTGGGAGGCTGAGGTGGGCGGATCACCTGAGGTTGGGAGTTCAAGACCAGCCTGACCAACATGGAGAAACCCTGTCTGTACTAAAAAATACAAAATTAGCCTGACGTGGTGGCGCATGCCTGTAATCCCAGATACTTGGGAGGCTGAGGCAGGAGAATCACTTGAACCTGGGAGGCGTAGGTTGCACTTAGCCAAGATCATGCCATTGCACTCCAGCCTGGGCAACAAGAGCGAAATCAATCTCAAAAAAAGGAAAAAAAAAAAAAAAA